GCCCCCGAGTGTCTAAGATAGTAGGTGGAGCCCGAGAACTTGAATTTCTAACAAGTTCCCAGGTGATGCTGAAGCTATTGTCTGGGGACACATTTTGAGACCCTCTGGAGTAGGTAACACCTGGGGTGTTGTTGAGGCGGAAACACCAAGCTCAGTTCCTGGCACACAGTAATTGGTTTCATTCATTCTTCTGACACCAGCTGATTTCATGAGGTTTCCCATCTTTAAGTCCAGGAAGCTCCACAGCTGGAGATGTGGTGTGGCCCTTGATCTCTGACTCCCTTGTGATCTCTAGTTCGTGATGACTTTGAACTATTTGGGTCCAGGTGTCACCCATCATGCTGCCTCTGCTATTTGGGCCTCAGCTTCCGTCAAAATGGCCCTGTCCCCAGGTACCCCACGCCCAGCATGGGAGCTACACCGAGGTTTGGGGGAGCCTGTGGGGCTTCACACGGGGATTTTGTTGGAGGCAGCTTTGTCCTTAATCAAGGGAGGCTGTAAGTCAGCCGCGGGTTGGACCTGGTGACCTTGGGCGAGTGTCTCCCTGTAAAATGGTGATAATGATGCCTGCTGGATAGGGTGGTGGGAGGATTAAGTGTGATTAAGGGGGCAGTCCTTCCTGGCAGGCTTGACACTAGTTGGCCTCCTTTGTGACCTTGATTATTGCTGGGAATGGGGGCTGGGCTGTCTTAAGAGCTCCTCCCCCAGCCCACCTGCCGAAGCACGTGGCACGGCCTCAGGGCAAAGGGAAACCGGCCCTCCCTTGGAAATGGAAAGCGGCTGGCGCGGTTTTCCCCAGAGTAGTTTAGGGCTGGCTGAGAGTAGAGGCCTGCCCGGCTGTTCCATGTTGGGGTCATGATTTGGAGTCACCCACCCATGGCCTGGTGACTCGCCCAAGGTCACGAGGCCACATGAAGAGCCAGGATGGGATTCCAGGTGTCTTGACTTCCATCCCCGCGCCTGTGCCCGTGGCACCCCCGGCCCCAGCTGTCTGGGTTATTTTGGGCTCCCTCCCGTGCCAGCTGTCTGCTGGCCTCACTGTCTGCCGGCCTCACTGTCTGCTTGGAAGTAACCGGCGGTGCTGTTGGCTCCTCCTGTGTTGGGGATCTCCGCTGGGAGGGAGTCTGCCCCAGACTCCCCCTGCCCGCAGTGCTACTGTGGCGTTTCATCCTCGCCTGGGAGGAGCTGAGGAGGTTCACGTTGTTGATACTCCATGAGCCTCCCCTCCATCCGTCCGTACCCCTGAAACCTGGTTTTCAACTTGGCCCTGCCATTGAGGCGCTCTTTGAACGCCCTTGATGCTTACGTGGCCCTTCTGCCGCCCGAGTGGGGTGTTCATCCCTTTGGATGGAGTCCTTGGTGCTCCCCGTGGGGTCTTCACCTCCCACTGGCCTCGGATGGCTAAATAAATTGATTTGTCTTCTCCCAGCCGCGCCCTGGAGGGCTGGGCCCGTTCCTCCTCTCCCGCCCTCAAGCTAATTAGGGAGCAATTAGGTGCTAAACTGTGGTCTGCCTGGGTGTGATTCTCCGGGACCCACCTGGCAGGATTGGACCCCTCTCCCTGCTGCTTCCGCCTCTGGTCCCCCCCTTTCTCCTTTTCGTGTCCTCCCCACCTCTCTCTCACTGCCTGGGGCAAGGAGGGGCGGGGCACTTCAGCCCGCCAGTCACCCAGCCAGTCACCCTGGGAGCTTGGGGCGGGGCTGCTCCTGGCGCCCGGCCCTGGGGCCTGGCAAGAGGGCCACGCCAGCGGAAGGGCTGCCTGGGCTGGGAGGTGGCTGGACTGGCCTTACTACTGGGACGCCAGTGTCCCCGCCTCTTCCGGCTCCTCCTCCAGGAGCCCTAGTGTGGAATATGACCTTTCAGACAGACCCTTTGGGTGCAGACGCAGCCTCTGCCTGGGCTGTGGAGAGAGGCAACCCCCCCCCCCATCTCGGGTCACCTGGGTCCAATGCTGTCTCTAACAGGCCTGTGACCCTTGGCAAGTTGCTGCCACGTGCCACTGGGAAAAGGAAGTTAGATGATACCTTTGGAGCTGTTGGAGTCTGCCTTGTGAAGGGACCCCTCCAGAGTGGCCCTCCCCTCCCCCACCTCCCCAGGTGCTCACAGGCAGCAAGGCCCAGGTCATTCTCAGGAGGGCAGATAGACAGTGTGTACTCCCCTGGCCACGTCTGTACCTGAGAATGGCTTCACCTGCCAGCACTCAGTGTCCCCTGCCTCTTGTGGGCGGGCACCTCTTGGATGTTCTGAGGCACCCACGGACGTGGGGTCCCTAGGCATCAGCCTGACCTAGGCCGGCTGGACTTTGTCCTGAGAAGACAGAAGTGGACGGGCCCCTGCTGCTTTCCTGGGTCTGTGTCCCTGTTGTCCTCACTGTGGCGCAGGCCCCCATGTGCGCACAAGTGAGTTTACCGCACACTGCCTCCTGGCAGCTCCACTAGGCTTCTGTGTCCCAGCAGCTTTTGTGTCAAGAGCCAGCTTAAAGAATCTTTCTTGCCTCCTGCGACCTCCAGGAATTGCCAGTGAATAGGAGGAGAGTGACACGGGTCTCCGGAGCCTCTTGCAGGTAAGGGAGCAGCAGCCTCGAGGCGGGCAGGCACGGTCCGCTCCGCAGCTGGCCCACCCGGCCTCTGAGCAAGCTGTGCAGCTGGCGCGGCTCCTGGGTATTTTTAGCTACAGATGCAGCCCCACCATCACCACGGGAGCTGGGTCCAAACCAAACACGCTCCAGGCCGGCCGGGGCTGGGGTTCTGCCAGCCTCCTGGCCTGGCAGGGGTGGGTGGGCAGGCTGGGGCAGTGTCAGCTGTTCTGCCTGGACCTGAGCCAGGCTGGGAAGACGCACTTGTGCTCGTTTCCTCCCTCTAGTTTTGTGCAGGCCTGTGCTGTCATAAAGTAGAGATCATAGCCCCATTTCTTGGATGGAGAAGGTAGGGACTGAGGTCTGAGAAATTTGAGGATAGTCAGGAGCCCTCCTATGGCTTCCGGTGGTGCACTGGGTTTCCAGTGACCCTTCTGAGCAAATTCTCCCCAGACCGCTTGCAGATAGGGCAGCCACCCCTTCCCTCCCCAGTCCTTCCCTGAGGCAGCTGGAGGGCAGGTGCCTGGGCTGGCTGTAGGGGTGAGTGTCCTCCTCTCCCTCTCAAGTGACTGTCAGTCCACCCTGGCTTGGTGGCCTCCACCTTCTCCTGTGGTCCTGGGGACCTCACTTCTCACAGGTCTCTGGACCTAGTCCCCTCCTCTCCTGCCATCCTCAGGCACCAGCTAATCATAGCTCCCTACTGGTCACCCCCAGAGAGCTCCAGGCCTGGCTGTGGCTGGGCTCCTCTCCTGTTCAGGAGCCTTCTGTCCATCACCCGTCTTTAGCTTGGCAGTCAGGTCAGCCATGGTGTGACCACGGTTGCCCTGACAGCCCTACCTGGCCTCCGACTTTACTGTCCAGCCTCCCCAGAACCTGAGGATGGCTTTCTAGCCACCGTGCACTTGCCTAGGCTGCGTGCCCATCCTGCCCCACTGGCCTGCCCTCTGACACTGCCAACCTTTGTTCATGTGCCAGCCAATGCTTCCCCACCCTCCCTGAGCCTCACGGGGTGGTAACTTGGCATCCCAAACTATTAGACTGCTTCCCCCAAGACAGCTCCTCCCAGGCAGGAACACAATTGCTTCTCAATAAATGTGTTGCACAAAAGGAATGGATGGTTTTCTGTAGTTTGTGGGGATGCTTGACCCAGAAGGTGCCTCTCTGCCCAGTGACAGGAGGGGGCTCCCCCCTAACAACCTGGTGGGGTGGGTCCTGGCCTCCCCTCTCTTCTGAGTGTCTTCAGCTTCCACGGGCAGTCACTGCTGCCCTCTGGCGGTCAGACCCTGCCTTGCACCTGCTGAAAACCTTGACCGGGCATTTATGGAACTGCCAGGTTGGCAGTTTTCCTCCATGAAGCGACGTTTACCTGACCTTTGCCCAGATGTTGAAAACTGGGAGTCTTTGGGTTGGGGCAAGAAGTTCCTGAGTCCTGACAGCCCCTCCTTGAGGGAACTACTCGAGGCCATTTGCCCTCCAACCATGCTGCCCAAGGGGTTTTGTTAAAAATGGGCTCTACCTACCCAAGCTGGGAGGATCCTTATGTCACTTGGCCATACACTAATGCCCATCTGCCGTGACCGACTTTGGGGGTCTCTATGCCACCCCTGACCACTGACCTGGCTCGTGCAGGGGACAATCAGCCCAGGGTGGCAGGGAGGGAAGGGATGATCAGACGGGTGATGACCAGGCAGAGGCCAGGGGTGACCAGACAGCTATCCTGCTAATACCTGCACGTACAAAATGCTGTTGTGGTCAGAGGATGGGAGCGTTCCTGGGAGGAAGGACATGGAGCCCCAGCAGAACACTTCCTTAAATTTCTTGGGGGGTGTGCGGTTACCAGTCTCCAAAGTCCACGGAGGGGGACCCAGCTGATCTCAACTAGATCTACCCCAACCCGCCCCTCCCCGACGGTGTCTTCCTCGGCTCACGCCTCTGGCCCCTCCCTGCTGGGAGGGGGCGCCTGCCTCTGCGGTCACCTGCGCCTGGGCGGCCCGCGCCGAGGCGACTGCCCGGCAGAGGGCGCCCGGCGTCCACCGCGCGGCCCTAGGCAGGGGGTGCAGGTAAGCGGAACCCAGTTGCCCGTCGCAGCCGCACGGACACGGGGCCGAGGGCCAGAGCAGGTGGGCAGGCGCGACCCCCAGGCAGCGTCCGCCGCGGCACCACGGCCGCTACCCGCCGCGGGGAGCCGGCCGGAGGCGGACTCGTCCCAGACGCCGGCCGGGCCGGGCCGGGGGCTCCTCGAACCCCGCGCCGGAGCGCAGCCCGCCCATCAGGGGCCCCTGGCGGAGGCGGCCGCGCCGGCCAATGGGAGGGTCCCTGCCGGGGCGGGGCCTGCCAATGAGGGGCGCCGGGCTGGGCGGCCCAGAGCAGCCGGCCGCGCCGCGGGGGGCGCGCCGTGGCGCGCGGGACGGGGACGCGGATGGCAGCTGCGTTTGCGCCTGGGCACCCCGCTTCTCAGACGCCTCAGCTTCTCTGGGACTAAGAGGCGGCCACCCCGCGCTGGGACTGGGACTGTAGCGCAAAGGAAACTGAGGCGGGAGGTCGGCCCGGGAGGCTGCCTGGCGGAGGCGGCGCCGGCTCCGAGTGGGCGGGGCTTCCCTGGCGCCGCCCCCAACCGCCCCCGCCCCGAGCGCTCCGCTCCGGCTCGCGGCCAGGCGCGCGGCCGCCAGTGCTGCCGGCTGCGGGCCATGGACGCCCCCGGGGCCCCGGCCCCGACCCCCGCCCCGGGCCCGGGCAGGAAGGAGCTGAAGATCGTGATCGTGGGCGACGGCGGCTGCGGCAAGACCTCGCTGCTCATGGTGTACAGCCAGGGCGCCTTCCCCGAGGTGAGCGCCGGGGGGCCGGGGCCGGGTGGGCTCGGGGCCGCGGGGGCGAGGGCCGCCCCTCAGCCTGTGCCCAGAGCCCGGACCGCGGCGCCCCTGGCGCCCCGAGCGCAGAGCGGCTGCCGCCACCCCGGGGCGCCCCCTCGGGAATTCCAGAGCCCCGCAGCGGGTGGAGGGAGGCCGCGCCGCGGTGGGTGAGCCTGGTGGGCAGCGGGGTGCGGCCGGGCCTGGGGCCTCCTTAAGGACCAGCCCGCCCCTTCTCCCCCAGCACTACGCCCCGTCGGTGTTCGAGAAGTACACGGCCAGCGTGACCGTGGGCAGCAAGGAGGTGACCCTGAACCTCTACGACACGGCCGGTGAGTGTCTGCCCGAAGGGTTCCCCCAGCGGGGCATCCCCGAGCGAGCGGGGCCTTTGCGGGGCCCTGACTTCCCCTCACTCCTGGGGGCCGCGCAGGGGCGCTGGCTGGGAGCCGCTGGGCCTCGGCCAGGCTGGGTGGCCCCGAAGGCAAGAGGGCCTCGGTGGCCCCATCTGTAAATGAAGGGCGTTTGGACCAGGTGAGCTCCGGGCAGACACCCTCCCTCCCGGCACAGTGCCCAGGGCCCAGGGCTTGTTCCTCTCCTGTGGTTCTAGAAACCGTGGGCTACACTGGAGCGCCCCATGGTTCCAGGGATGGTGTGTTACCTGCTGGGGTCTCCGAGGACTCTGTGGGCTGCAGATTGGAGTCCCCTGCTGCTAGGATGGCGTGGGCTACATTTCTGCATCCGTGGTTGTGGGGTGCTCTGGGCTACAGATCACAGAGCCTGTGGCTGCAGGATTCTGTGGCCTGCAGTGCTGTGTCCTAAGAGGGCCCTGTGGGTATGAGTTCTCTGTCTCCGGCCTCTGGGATTCCATGGACTGCAGTTCGTGCTTCCAGAATTCAGTTGCTGCAGCTGGTTCAGTGCTTTCCTGGTTTCCTGGGAAGAAACCAGACCGTTTTAGAAAATAAACTGAGGGAAGGATCAGAGCTCTGGGGGACATAGGATCAAAATAAGGCTCTACCTGCCACCTGCAGCTTGCCACACAGTGGATTTACGCTAATTGTATTAGGGTCGTGAGAGTCAGTGTTGGGATGGGTGGGGTGGGGCGGGGTGAGAAGACCCGGCCGCCTTCTGGGCTCCATGACATTGGGGAGCAAAGGTTGAGGTCCCTAGGTGAGGCCTCACCCAGCCTGTGTGACTCAGTGTTTAGTGACTTACGTGGAGCCACGCCAGCGGGTGTCCCTTCCCCTGGCAGCCAAGCCTTGCATGTGTGAAGTCTTCCACTGACCAGGATGGAGCCAAAATCCAGATACCCCCAAACCCCCGAGCAGACCCTGGAGAATATCAGAAAAGGGGCTGTTCCAGCTCCAGATCTCTCCTCCATTCCTGACTTGAGCAGGTCCTACAGTGGCTTCTGAGGACTCCACCTTGTTGGATGAGGGCCCTGCAGTGCCACCCCCAGAACAGAGCAGGGCTCCAGCCCGGGTCAGCTGGGAAAGCCAGAGGCTGCAGGGGAATCCCCACGGCATGGCCCAGAGGGCAGTAAAAGTCATGGTCTGTCAGGGACACTTGCGTTCACAGGGAGGGGCGGGGTCGTTAGCCCCACTTTGTGGGTGTGGTGGCCGTGTGGCAGAGACATTGCACAGCAAACCACGGCCCTGGGGGAGTCAAGGGTGTCTTCTCTCCTCCTGCCCTCAGAGCCTCTGCCATAGGACCAAGAGCTGGGACCACTTCTGGCCATTCTGGCCTTGCCCAGAGGAAGGTGCTCAAAGAACTTGTCATGTAGATTGTGGTGTCCAGGCGGCGGGGGTGGGCAGAGATCTGAAAAGCTGCTAATTGGCGTAAGAAAGAATTTGTGCTGCTGCTGGAGGGGCAGGGGCTCCTATTGCCAGGGTCAGCAGCAGCACGCAGCCACGGTAATGGCCCCACCCACCATCCCAGCCCTGCCACCTGCGCTGCTTTGGAGTCAGACCTGGGCTTTGATGCTGGCTCCCCTGGCCGTGTGTCACTGGGGATGTCTGGGCTTCAGTTTCATCTGTCATCAGGGCTGAGATAGTGGTGGGGATTATGTCAGGTTAATGTGATGTACAGCCCTCCACGCAGGGGCTGGCGCTCAGGAAGGGCTCAGGAAGTATTGTCATTGTGACTTTTAAAAACCCTCCCGCTGTTCCGGCCCTCAAGCTTGTGCTTTGGAATCCCTGGCCCGGCCACAGCCCCGACTGGCCCCCGGCCGCCTCAGAGAGGACAGCTCTTTCCTGGCAGGACTCTTCTGAGCAGCAGAAAAGCAGTGCTGGGGTCTGAGCCCCCCAGTGAGTCCCGGGGGAGTGGGCTGGCCTCCCGGTCAGCAGGGTGGACCAAGCAGGGGTCCTCAGGAGAAGAAACCTGGCTGCCCCTCCAGGGTGTCCCGCTGTGACCAGGGAGGCCCTGCTGGCAGGAGGAAGTTCCCTGGCGGGTGAGCAAGCAGTGCGAGGAGACTGGGTCTTTCCTCTTACGCATGCGGTGCCCACCGCAGAGCCTGTCACAGGGCAAGGCCCGAGAAACGCCTGTGGAATGAATGAACGGTAACTCTGAACTCAGGAAATGACTCTCTCTCCTTGTGGGCCGGGCAGATATCAAGGGAACATGGCAGAAAACCATGGCCAGGTGACCAACTAGAGCAAGATAGAGCCTAAAGGGGTGAGGGGTGTGGCCGAGCTGGAGAGGAGTCTAGTAAAGGTTTTTGTAGAAGGTTCTAGAACCCAATGGGCTAGACATGGTGGAGCAGGAGGGACTCTTCCCAACCAGTGGTGACTAGAGCTGTGGGACAGGGGGTAGCTCGTGGGAGGCAGAATTTCTCAACACCCAGGACTGAGTGGTGGCCCTAGGCGGTGGCAGGACCCTGCCCACAGGGGCCCACGTGGAAGGCCAGTCTGGCTGCTGGTCTCCGCCGTCTGCGGAAGCGGTCACAGACACCACGCCGGTGGGAGGGTGGGTGGCGGGAAGGCAGGGCCCTCGGTGCTCAGAGGTGAGGGGAGGGTGTGGCCGTGGCACCCACTGCTCTCGAAGCCCCGACGGGCCTGGGAGGCAGGAAGCTGCGGTGAAGCCGGAAGTTTCCTGAGCAGAGGGGAGGCAGGGGTGAGGTGGCCTGCTAAGACACCCACTGGAGACCGGGCTCACTGGGCCTTGGGGTGGGGTCCAGGGCTGGGGGGGCACAGGGTAGGGTGGGGGTTGCCCCGGGGAGGTGGGGAGCTGTAGTCGCCTGCCGTCTGGGAATAGTAGGAAAAGTGGGGGGCAAAGAAGCTGCTAAGACAAGGAATCAGGGACGGGAAGGTGTCCCGCGCCCCAGGGAGAGCCGAGACTGGGGATGGAACTAGAGCGCAGAACCAGAGCGCGGCAGCCCCAGCCCCGGCCCCGGCCCCGGCCCCGGCCCCGGCCCCGGCCTCCCCTGTCTCTGGGGAGGAAACGCAGCCGGGTTAGTAAAAGTGGGTTCCTCTTCTGGCAGCTTCCCTTCTCACGCTGCCTGTACCGTCCCCTGACCACCGCCCTGGCCTGGGCTGGGAGCCACCTGCCCTGCGTGTGTCCTCCAGCAGACTTGGGGTCTGCTGTGGCCCTGATGATACTCTTCTCTCCTCAACCCAGCTCCGGGCAAAGCCTTATCCCACAAAGAAAGTACCCCTGTGTGAGGCAGGAACCTCACTTCCCCCAGCCCTGCAGCGCCGCCAGCTTCAGGATGACAGGTAGCTTCACGGGGGCCCGGCCCAGAGGACCTTTCCCCGCCAGAAGCAAATGCATCCTCTGCACACCACTCCGGGGCTTTCGTAAACCCATAAGCCCATCTGCAGAGGCCAGTGGGACCCCTCTGTGACTGTGGGCAGGTGACCTGGCCCCTTTAAGCCTTGGCATGATTGTGGGTAAAGGGGGGGAGGGCAATAGTATCACCTGTGGCTGGGAGGCCCCCCAAAGCTTGCAAGTCCAGAGCGTGTGGGGTCAGACCTCCCACCCGGCTATTCACTTCCTTTGGAAGTTTCTGGTTAAGAAGTCGCCAGTGGCTCGCCTCTTCCCAGCACTGCCCAGCTGCGGTCCTTTCACTTTCCGTATCAGAGGCAGGGTTATCACCGCCCGGCCCAGGTAGGGCAACGCAGGTCCAGAGAGGGAGGGCGCCAGGGACCGGAATGTGCGTGAGTGGCACCTGGCCCGCCTGACTCACACCGGAGAAGGCATCTGGTCCACTCCACCCCTGCCAAGGAGGCACGGGGGGAGCAGCACACGGAAGTGACTCATCTGCAGGTCCCTCGTGGAGGCGCACACTGAATCCTGGGGACAGCTGCGCCTGGCCAAGGCAAGCCAGGAAGGCAGCCTGGAGGAGGAGCTGGCATCTCCTTCTTGAGTTGGCTGTGTTGACAGCGTTTGCCCCACCTGGTCAGGGGTGGGACACGCAGGGTGAGGGTTCCTCCCCACCTCCCCGCCTGGGCTAGGCTGAGAGAAAGGCACCTTGATAGCCCTACCTGTGTTCCTCTGTCATTTACAGTTTCCCCTTTGCTGTGTGACCTTGGGCAAGTCCCTTCAGCTCTCTGTGCTGCAGTTTTTCCAGCTGTAAAGCGGGGTAACAATAGTGTACCTTGAGGGTCGCTGTGAGGGACGATGAGTTAATGCAGGTAAAGGGCTTTGAACGGGGCTTGGCATTTGAGTAACCTTCCCGGTACACGCTGTCCACACCAGCCATCCTTATTGTCACTGTCACCAGAGCTCACCTACCCGCCTGTCACATCTGCATCTCACAGTTGGACAGACCGAGCGCCAGAGGTTAACTCCCAGTTGGCAGGGCAGGGAAAGCTTCCGCAGGAACCTTGCAGGGTGGCCCAGCAGGCAGCTGAGCTTGGGGACCGAGTCTGCGTCCCAGCTCGCAGGGTGCTGCCCCTGACGCTGGCAAAGGCCCCCTCCGCCACTTGGGCTCTTACCAGGAAGCACTTTCCCCACCCTGCTCACCTCCGGGGGTGCTGCTTGAATTCACACAGGGCAAGAAGTGACATGCCCTCTCCAACGCCTCCAGGGGGTACGACAGTGCACAGCACAGAGGTGGCCCCTGTCCTCAGGGGGAGACAGACAAAAAAGCGGAGAAAAAAGGGAAGCCAGGGTCAGAGGCCGGCTGTGAAGGAGGCCGTCTCAGAGCGGTCCCTAAAGGTCTCTCAGAGGAAGTGACATTTCTGCAGAGACCTGAAGGAACGGAGGGAGCCAGCCGTGCTGCTCTGTCTGAGGAACCTTCTGGAAGAAGGAACACAGGCCGGGTTTGGAGCAGGCTGGCGCAAGTGCTTCCAGTCCCCCGTGGTCCGACTTCCTCCTTTTGCCCACTGGCCCGACTCCCGCCCTCACCACCCTGCCTGACACCTCTTGTCGTGCTGTCACCGCTGACTGTAATTGCCAAACCCACAGGGCTCCTCTCAGCCCTTATCTCTGCTGAGTTTGACCAAGAATTAACTTGAAGACAACTATTAGGCAATATCTACTGAACGCCTCCTGGTGCCAGGGATTATTTTTAAGGACAGACAAGGTCCCTGCCCTCATGGGACTTACAGTCTGAGGGGCAGACGGGCAGTAAAGTCAACATCTAAGTACAAATAGTGACAGGGTGGTCGACAGAAACCACCTCCCGGGGCCGGTTGAGAGACAGACAGGGTGGGCGTGGACCCGGAGCAGCCAGGGGGCCTCTCTGCGGAGCTTTCACTTAAACCCTCGGTGAATCAGCCACCCGTGAAATAGCAGGATGGTCTGAGCACGGGGGCCCCACTCGACAACCACAGTCATCCGCCCTTATCTGCGGTTTCGCTTTCCGCAGTTTTAGTTACATGCAGTCTGAAAATATTATATAGAAAATTCCAGAAATAAACAGTTTATAAGTTTTAAATTGCACACCATTCTGAGCAGCGTGATGAAATCCCCCACCGTCCCACCCTGTCCCCGGCACCCCAGGCACGAATCCTCCCTGTGTCCAGGGGATCCACGCCGTCCGTGCCACCCGCCCACGAGCCGCTTGGTGGCCGTCTGTCTCGGTTATCAGATGGGCTGCAGCGGAGTCGCGGTGCTTGTGTTCAGGTTACCGTCACTTACCTGACAGTGGCCCCTCATGCCGCAGCTCTTTTAGGCTTTGTCTAGCAGGTTTGCTGGTTCTCACTGGAAGATCTCCACGAACAAAATAATAATAGTGGCCCCTAAGTGCAAGAGTAGTGAGGCTGACGTAGTGTTTTAATTGTTCTATTTTATTATTATTGCTAGCCTCTTACTGTGCCTAATTTAGAAATTAAACTATTACAAGTATGTATGTATAGGAAAAACAGTATATATAGGGTTCCGTACTGTCCGAGGACAGTGAACGTGTTCCCCACTCCTGCTATGCTTGTAAAAGAGAATGAAATGTATATTATGCCATAATTATGAACCCTGTTGCTACATCTTGGAGGCCCAGAACCTATTTTTGCACAATACATAACAAAATAGGGGGTTAGCAAGTATAAGCAGAAAGAACGCTCCACTTGGAAGCCAGTGAACTGGGGTTGACTCGACACAGTCACTGATTCAGTGGCCTTGGGCAAGTCACTTCACTTCTGTGAAACTCAGTTTCTCTGTACGAAATGGGAGTATTCATAATTGCCCCATCATATTGGATTGTAATGTAAGGATTTTTTTTTTTTTTTTTGAGACAGTCTCGCTTTGTCGCCCAGGCTAGAGTGAGTGCCTAGCTCACAGCAACCTCAAACTCCTGGGCTCAAGCAATCCTCCTGCTCAGCTCCCGAGTACCTGGGACTACAGGCATGTGCCACCATGCCTGGCTAATTTTTTCTATATGTATTAGTTGGCCAATTAATTTCTTTCTATTAATAGTAGAGACGGGGTCTCGCTCTTGCTCAGGCTGGTTTCGAACTCCTGACCTAGAGCAATCCGCCCGCCTAGGCCTCCCAGAGTGCTAGGATTACAGGCGTGAGCCACCAGGCCTTGCCAACACTGTGAATTTTTAATGTAAGTTTAAACAGCCCCGTGGGCTGGGGGCCACCCTCACCCCTCACCCCTTCTCCAGTGTCGGGGGGACCCTGGCTGAAGGACAGCGTGGACAGTGCTCCCGCCCCAGCCATTTTCATAACGGTGGCTCCTGTTTAGTGCACACTCTTAGGGTCCCCATGTGTCAGGTGCAGTGGCTGGTGACAGTCCCATGAGGTGGGTTTTGTCATGATGTCATGTTCCCGGTGGAGAAACTGGGGCTCCACAGGTGGTCAGAGTCAGGGTCACGCAGCGAGCGAGCGGTAGAGCTGCGCTCCCAACTCGCGCCGCCTCTGCCCGTCGCGCCCTTGCCCCCAAGCGCTGTGCTGTTGTGGAGCTGGTTTTTGGGATTTGGGGGGTATCTGGGTTGAAGGGGAGCCAGTGGGAAGGGAGAGGGTGGCTGTGTCCTGTCGTTGGCCGGGTGCCTGGCTGTGCTCCGTGGAGAGGCCACTTGTCCTAAGAGGTCTTCGGCAGGGCAGGTGCAGAGGGCAGGCTGGCGCCACCGGGCACCCGCAGGTAGGGGCTGGGTGGGCAGGATGGGGCAGGGGGATTCCTGGGCCTCCATGATCCTTGCTTAGTGGGAGGAAGTCAGGCCACCTTTCTACAGAAGAAGCCGGGGGTCGCCAGTGAGCCTGAAAGGCGCTCAGTTGTCACTGTGGGACTTGCTTAAAAATATCAGCACAGCAGGGTAAGTGCAGTGCCTAGTCTTGGGGGCTCCTGGACCCGGGGGAACAATAAAGGACATTTCTGGTGAAATGGGCGATTGGATTAGAGTACAGCCTCAGTGTCGCTGTCCTGGGCTAGATAGATCCTCCTACTGTGGCAGGTGAGAGAAGGCCCTTGTTCTTAGGAAATGCGCTCGGGGCCATTATGGGGTGCAGACACAGAAGGTCTGCAGTTACCTCTCACGTGGTTCAGAGAAACAGAGTGTTTATATTCGGATCAAGCAAGTGGGGGAAAATGTAAACACTGGGTGAATCTGAGTAAGGGAGTTCCTTGCGCTCCACTCATTGCAAATTTCTATAACTTTGAAATTGTCAATATAAAATCACCAAAATTTTTTTAAAAAGCAAAGAAACCCATCCAAGCTCTAGCCTTGCTCGGGTTTTGGACTCTGGTGTTGGGGAGGAGCCAGGTGTTGGGACTGTTAAATGATCCCCAGGTGGCTCACGCCTGTAATCCTAGCACTTTGGGAGGATCGCTGAGCCCAGGAGTTCAAGACCAGCCCGGGCAAAATAGCAAAGACCCTCACCCCACTCCACCCCCACCAATCTCTACAAAAAAATTGTTTTAAATTTAGCCAGGCGTGGTAGCACACACCTGTAGTTGCAGCTACTTAGGAGGTCAAAGCAGGAATATGTCTTGAGCCCAGGAGATTGAGGCTACAGCTATGATTGCACCAGAGCACTCCAGCCTGGGTGACAGAGCAAGGCCCTGTCTTTAGAAAAATAAAAAATCTCCCGGTGAGTGTGATGTGCTGCGGAACTGCCAGCCCCTGTGTGGGGAGAATCTGAGTGGGAGGGTGCTCAGTGTTACTTCCAGCAGTCCCCCACCCCCGCCCTCCTAGCAGTTGCAAGAACGGGCAGGAGGAATTCAGCCAAATGCATCGGAGCCAAGGAAACCAAGGCTGAAATGGGACATGCAGCCTCTGGGACTCGGGGGCACCCATGGGCTGGCCCAGCCCTGTGGGTCTGAATCTGCGGGGAGGGCTCCAGCCTGCACTTGGACCCCAAGCATCAGGGCTGGGGCGCACATGGGATCGGCATCCTCGCTGGCAGCACTTGCACACTGAGCCTGTCACTGGGTCCAGCTCCGAGCACTGCACGGGCTCAATCTCACGTGTCCTTTGCCACCCTCCGGACTGTGGGCTGCTACCCCTGCTTTACAGATAAGGAAACTGAGGCTTGGAAGCACAGAGTCACTTGCCTGGGTTCCCCACCCTCACTCATCAGAGCCCAGGACAGGGGACTTGGGGTGGACACGGAGGGGGTGCCCCCTGACCCCCACCTGCCCTCTGGTTTCAGGCCAGGAAGACTACGACCGGCTGCGGCCCCTGTCCTACCAGAACACGCACCTCGTGCTCATCTGCTACGATGTCATGAACCCCACCAGCTACGACAACGTCCTTATCAAGGTGAGGCTACCTCCCAGCTGGCCTGACTGAGGGGGTGGGGCCCCGGATCCGGGTGGCCCCAGCCCTGACGCCCTGCCTTCTCCCCAGTGGTTCCCTGAGGTCACGCATTTCTGCCGTGGGACCCCCATGGTGCTCATTGGCTGCAAGACAGACCTGCGGAAGGACAAGGAGCAGCTGCGGAGACTCCGGGCCGCCCAGCTGGAGCCCATCACCTACACGCAGGTCAGCCAGGCCCCCACCCCGCCCCACCGCCAGGGGCCACAATCCTGGGGCACAGCGGTGGCTGAAAAGCCTCCCAGACCTCTGGCCTTTGCAACGAGGGTGCCTTAGTGGCCTTTCAGGGAGCTGAAGCAAGCGGGACTCTAGGAATAGCAAATTTTAAATATTGATAGCCCTTGGATTTGAGCACTTTATATTTCTTGCCTCATTTAATCCTTATAACTCTGAAACCGGTATGTGAATAGTCCTGTTTACAGGGGAGAAACTGATGCCCAGAGAGGTTAAGCAGCTTGCCCAGGGTCACACAGCTCCACACCTGAAGTGGAGCCAGGATCTGTCCCGCCCACTCAGGCTGCAGAGTCTGCCCGAGTCTGCTTGGAAGTAGTAGCTTTCCCTTCCCACGGGAGTCCCAGGCACATCCAGACCCTGCAGGTTTTTGGGTGAGGTGTGGGAGATTAAATAGAATAAAAGGAGTTCGAAGGGAAATTAACAAGAAACTTTAACGAAAAGGAATAAGCCTTGATAAAGGTAAATGCATTTTAAAAATAATTTTTTTCTTTACTCTCACAGCGAGCTCAGTTGCCTGAAGTGTGCGTTCAGAGGAGGGAAGGGGGGGGTTTTGGCGGGTTCTTTTTTTTTTTGGGGCTTCCCGGGCTTGGGGGCGGCCCCTTGGGGGCCCCGGCTTCGGCCTTCGGATTTCGGCTTCGGCCGGGGGTTGGCCGGGGGGGGGGGGGGGGGGGCCGGGTTTTTCCCGCGGCCCCGGCGTTGGGCGGCCCCCCCGGGGCCCCCGGGCCCTCCACACGCGCCGTGAGGGCCAGCCCTGCAACGGAAGGGAAAGGGCCCCAAGCCAGCCCCACACCCCTAAATCCATGAGGCGTCAGGTGGCCCCAGGGGTCCCATACTCCAGGCCCCCTCACCTAACGCTGGCTCCTTCCCTACCCAGGGCCTAAGCGCCTGCGAACAGATGCGAGCTGCACTCTACCTGGAATGTTCCGCCAAGTTTCGGGAGAACGTGGAGGACGTCTTCCGAGAGGCGGCCAAGGTGGCCCTGAGCGCTCTGAAGAAAGCACAGCGGCAGAAAAAACGCCGGCTCTGCCTGCTGCTCTGATCCCCGAGCGTGTGGCCTTCGTGACAGCACTGACAGGGCCGGGCCCCCAGGCCCAGACTGCCGGGATCCTGCTGCACCTCCGGCGACTCTCCTGCACCTGCCGTCTGGGGCCTGCAGCTAGACTTTTGGAACATTCTGGAACTCTCTCCTTTCCCAGCTGGGGCTCTGACCACAAGCTCAGCTCCAGGCTTACACTGGATCGTGGTAGTGATGAGGGTTCTGGATCCTCTTCCCTTTGTACCCCGGAGCCAGCGTTTGTCCCTAGGCCCCGGGAGTGCACCCATCCCAGCCTGCGCCAGCCACGTGTGCACCCCGTTGCAGACCCGACTTATGCTTAAAAGTAAATCCACATCTGGGAGTGGGCGCATGTGGGTCTGGCGTCGCTCCACACGGGCACCCCGCCGCTCCTGCCACCCGCCTGCCTGGGCTCCCGAGATAGCCACGGCTGCATCCTCCAGCTTTTCCTTCCTTCCCACGGGAACTCGGGGCATGGCGGGGCCGGGCGTATCGGGAGAACACAGGCAGCAGCCCGGATGAGGGCCTGGCACAACCCCCAGCCCCCGCTGCCCCACATGGAAGACGTCAGCCTCGGGCTTCGGCTTGGCCACCACCCCTGCGGAGCTGGGGGTGGGTGCACTGGGGGAGAGGACAAGGTCTCTGAGCAGTGAGACCTACACCCTGTACCGGCCGTCCGCCCGCCATGCGAGGTCTCGTCCAACCCCCCAGTGTCGGAGACTCAGTGGAAAATGCCATCAGCTCTTTGTGTGATCTTGGGCAAGTCTGTTCCCTCTAGAATGTCCTCACCTGCAACACGACAGGATTGGCTCATTTAAACAGTCGCCCAGCTACCTACCTGTTGTCCCTCACAGCCTCCGCTTCTGTCAGAACAAGACATCCTGGAGCCTCGACCATCCTGGCCTCCTTTGAGAACTGACATGATCAACCCCCTGCGCCTGCAAGATGGCTTCTCAAAACTGGTCCACAGACTGCCCTGTGAGCAACAGCCAAACACCTGAGCCCGGAACTTCCTGGCAGCTCTGGGGTCCGGGAGCTAGGACTGTTTGAACAAGTGCCCCAGGTGATTCTAATGCCCACCAGAGACCGAGAGCTGGCCCTGCTGGAGTGAGCCTTAGAGTCGGTGTTGCCTAAGGTGGGATAATGGCTTTAGGTGGCATCCGCCCTCCCCACCATCTCCTGCCTCAGCCCTCCTTGCACAGAGCTGGGGCCTCAACTAAACCTGAGCTTTTCAGAAGTCAGGCTGCCAAGGGAGGAGACTGAACCCCACCCCAGCTGGGTTCCCCAAGGCCCTGCCGTCCCATGGGGAATCAACCAAGGACCTGTTGTTCTGGAAGAATCCAAGGCCTTGTGGACAGATGATGGTCTAAGGGAAAAGTCAGCAAACTACAGTCTATGGGCCACATCTGGCTATGGCCTGTTTTTGTAAATAAAGTTTTATTGGAACACACCCACGTCCATTCACTTATGCATTGGCTTTTGCCCTACAACGGCAGACTCGAGTAATTGCCACAGAGACCCTCTGGCCCTTACACAGTTTGCTGACGTCTCATCCAGGGCAACCCAGGCGCCTGAGAAGGGCCAGCTAGGAGACCCATGCGGGGGAGCAGGCAGGGGTAAAAGGGAGTGGCAGGGCCTGTGGCAGGGCGGGGACCAGTCGCATCCTGTGGGAACGCTGCCAGATCCTTACATTTTTCTAGGGAAAGCAGAAATCTGGGTTTTTATTTTGGTTACAATGTAACTAATTTAAAAAATTTAAAATCCCTTTGAGGGCCAAACAAGGCATGTCTGTGGACGCCGGCTGTGAAGCCTGGTCCGAGCGGATCTGCGGGGGAAGTAGTTGAGGGCAGCTGAGGGGAGAAGGGGCAGGACCTTCAGCCGCCCCTTACGGGGCCCCTCCGCCCTCCCTGCTCGTACAGAACCTCACAGGAGGTGGGCGACCAGCAGCCCTGGCCTGGCCTCCCAGGGCGGCCTCTGCGGGTCTTAGCCTGCTCAGACGCCCCCCCACATTCCAGAACCTGAGCTGGGGGGGAGACCGGAGAGTTGGGCGACGTCCACGATGGCTTAGGTGCCAGCCAGCGCGAGGGTCCTGAGTGGAGTACTCCCTGCAGGAGGGCAGGTGGGCCGCGGGTGTGTGTGTGTGTGTGTGTGTGTCAGACAACCCCGGAGGGACGCAGCTTCAGGGGTCGCTCAGAGCACGCAGGAGCTGGGGCGCCCTCTGGTGGTGACCCTCAGGACAGCGCCCCCCCGTGGCAGCCGTGGCCACAGGCGGACAAGCCAGGACAAGCCAGGAGGCACAAAGAGCACGAGGCAAAGGACAGTGGTTCTCTCCGAGAACGTGAGTAGTCCCCGTCGCGGGAGCTGAGCTTACAGCAGAGGCCGAGGCCCCGGGGGCAGGGCAGGATCTGCGGGCGCCGAAGGGCTTCATTCCTCCCCCTCGCCCGGGACTAGGTAAGTAGCAGGTCAGCAGAAATCCAACCCCAGCGAGGCACATCCAGACCCCAATGTGAGGGGTTCATATGACAGGAGTGGGGACAGAGGGGCTCCCTGAGGCTTCAGGCCTCTCCCCCAGGAAGACTGGCCCAGTCCCAGCTGGGACATTGGGAGGACCCAGTATTAAATAAGTCATAAATAGGTGGGCTAATACTGTGCGCACAGGCAAGGTTCACATTTCTCATGTCCGGCGGGGGCCAGGCCTGGGCCCCACAGCGATGTCACTGGCCCCTGAGATGGCTGCGGCCGGCGCTGCTGGGGGCACTCGGTGGCCCAGGTGCCACCAGACTCCCCGATGGCTCAAAGTCCAGGGGCCCAAGGGGCACAAGAGTCCGAGGCTCATGGCTTCTTTGTCTTGTTTCTGTTCTTCTGGAGTTTGGCATGCACGACTTTGAGTGTGGTCAGGAAGTTGCCGAGGAAGAGGATGAGGAACGTGAGCGCCAGCACAAACACCTGGAGGGGCGGGAGAGGCAGCAGGGCCCGGGGCAGAGAGAAGGGGAAGCTCGGTCAACTGCCCTGCCGCGACCCCCATGCAGCCCCCTAGCAAAGCCACCCCCAAACTGCAGGGTTTGCCTGCAGGAGGCAGAGATGTGGATGACCTGGGTGACAGGCAGGGGCCTGGGCAGCGTCCTGTGGTGAGGGCCTCCCTTCCCTCCTTCCCACCCACCCCTCCCAGGCCCCAGGAGCAGAAAGCTCGGGCAGTGGGTGGCCGGAGGTGGCTAAGGATAGACTTCTCCCCAGACAAGCCTGGCCCTCCCCAAGAACCTCCCCACCAGCCCTCCGTGCCCCCCCACACCCATACCTGCCATTCTTTGCATTCCTCGTGGGTGGAGAGCTCGAATAATGTGACAGCATTGTAGAGCTGCCAGAACTGCAGAGAGGGAGACAGGCACTGCTCAACCTGTTCTCCAGGTTGCCCTGGAGACCCGCCTGGAAAAGCCAGGGATGGACCAGGCCCCCCCAGCTTTGAGTATCAACCACCCAAGACATTGCCACCCACCCAAATGAAAGGTGTGGGTACCCTAGGCCAGAGCGGGTCTGCCCTTGGTGTCCCTGGGCCCAGAGGGCTGTCCTGGCCCCAGGACCCTGTGGGGCCCAACATGGGGATGGCCAGAGGATGGAGAGGCCTGAAGACCTTCTGTTCCCGGGGGTCATCCCAGACAGGAGATACCCACAAACTCCAGGGGGACTCACGTGGCCACAGAAGAGGAAGGGCAGGAGGAAGGTGAGGCCCCGCCACATCCAGGACTGGAAGCCTTCTGCGGGGAGGAAGAAGGCGTGTGAGGGGCTCATGTCCCCACAGTCCCACCAGGCACCTGTGACTAGCCAGGCACAAACATGCAAAGTCCAAAGTCCTGCCCAAAGTCCACCCATCTGCACCTGCCGCTCCCGGCTACCCGGCTTGTGCATGGGGGATGGCCCCCACCACGACAATGACAGCCCTTGTCACCAGGCCTGATTGATCTCACTCCTCAAAGTAGGGCCTACTTACAGTAATTCGATGGAAACGATCATCTCAAAAAATAGCTGAGTTTTATTAAAAACTATTCCCCCTGAAAGTCTGGACAAGGGTGTCTCCAGACTTTCCTGCCTGGGCACCCCATGGGTCAGGAGAGTTAAGTGTGTGTCCCCAGTGTATAGACATCTATATATTTGTACGTATTTCCATGCAGACATGTTATGCAGAAAGTAGATGCACAACCACCAGACTAACACTATGTGTGTTACAAAACGCGGATGAAAAACTAGACACTTGAAAAGGATAAGGCAGAGGCCCCGCATCAGCACCTGGCCCTCGGCTGGCCTCAGGCTTAGCGGAAACAGAATCCGTGATGAATCATGAAGAGCAACGCGATGGAGGATGGCGGGTGGCTTTGCTGTGTGGCGGGTCTCGCTAGGACGTGCTTCGGCGAGTGCCCCTCCCCCCAGTCCCAGCCGGGCCAGCTACTCACCCACGGTGAGGTCCAGGTGATTCCTCTCCCCCAGGGCCCGCAGCCGGTAGAGACAGCCCCGCTGGTAATAATATTGCAGGAACTGGACGCAGCCTGCAGGGGGAGCACAGCGCCAGGCTCAACAGGGGCCACCTCCCCCTCTGCCCCACGTCTGCAGGCTGGTGGGTCTTCGCTGGCCAGAGGGCAGGGAGGGCGCCCTGGTTACAACCCTCTCCCACCTCTGACACACACACTTTGGCTTGAACAGGCTTTATCCCTTATCCGGGGATACAAAGAGTCCAGGCATGTGAGGACCCATCTATGCTCCAGCTTGATTAGAAACTTCTGGAGTTTCCCTAGGCATACAGCAGGCACTCAATAGATGCTTGCTAGCAAGATGTGCCCATGCTGTGCTGGGAGCTGTGTATGATGCCAAAACACAAGACAGTTCCATACAATGGGATACTTTGTAGTTGCTAAAATGAGGAGGTGAGGACATGGAAAAACAGCCATGGTGAATTGTCAAAATCAAAGTTTTTCAAGTGGGTTATAACAGTCAAGTTCCATGTACAGAAAGACCCCACATGTGTAAAATATACATATGCAATACATATATATTAAGAATAAAAACATTTGGGCTGGGAGAGGTGGCTCACACCTATAATCCTAGCACTCTGGGAGGCCGAGGCGGGAGGATCACTCAAGGTCAGGAGTTCAAAACCAGCCTGAGCAAGAGCAAGACTCCGTCTCTACTAAAAATAGAAAGAAATTAATCGACCAACTAAAATTATATAGAAAAGATTAGCCAGGAATGGTGGCACATGCCTGTAATCCCAGCTACTCGGGAGGCTGAGGCAGGAGGATTGCTTGAGCCCAGGAGTTTGAGGTTGCTGTGAGCTAGGCGCCACGGCACTCACTCTAGCCTGGGCAACAAAGGTAGACTCTGTCTCAAAAAAAAAAAAAAAAAAGAATAAAAACATTTGGAAGGACATAGATCTTAATTGATCACCCCCAACTAAGGGTGGGATAATATAGAATTTCCATTCTTAGCTTTAGACATTTGTATTTGTTTGCAAGCAGGTTTTTATGTAAAAATTCAGTTGTATTTTTTTAAAAGGCAATATGCATACGGTATAAAATTCAAAGCGAACAAACAGGTTCTTGGTGAAAAGTGAAACTCTCTCCCTGTCCCCAGCCAGAGCCCAGAGCCCAAGGCAACCCTAGGGGCTAGTTCATCATATACAAATTCAGAGCTATTCTCAAATGAAAAAATATATATATTTCAATTTTGAGGACTTACTTAAGACTTGGAAACAAGGTTAGTGACCCCAACACTACAGAGTTCCCAAAGGTCGCAGCTGGTCTGACCTGGGGAAGGAACAGGTGGAGGCTGGAAGGTAGGATGGAGTTGATCTGGGCAGTGGGACAGCTCCTTTCTGGATTTCTGGGGCCCTCCCTTCCCCAGTCTGGTCTCCCTTCCACACAAGCAAGCACCGATGTCAGCTGGGGGCCCCCCTCCCCCAAAGCTGGGCAAGAGACACTCACTCTGAAAAATTGAAAACGCTAAAAACTGATTTCGGAACTTCTGATAAATGAGTCCATTAGGCCTGGAGAGAAGGTGGGGGGAAACAAAGGTGGGGTGCGCTGTGAGATCACACACTCAGCCCCGCCCCACCTGTTCCAACCGGGAGAGAAGCAAAGGTTTGCAGGTTAAACCGAGGTCCCCAATTCCTGCCCTTCTCTGTTCCTGATGCTGGCCCAGAACTAGGGGAGCCCACGTAGTCACGCTGAAACCCAGGCTCCTGCCGATCCCCTCCGTCCTCCAGTCTCTTTTAGTACCACAGCCTCCTTCGCTTCCGGTCACCCCTGCCCCAGCCCTCGGGGACCCTAAAGCACTTCCCCAAACATCCCGGGAACAGTTCCCAGCTGGCTTGGCGAGGCCCCTAAGCTCATCCCCGCCTTCCTGCCCAAAGTCCACCCATCTGCACCTGCCGCTCCCGGCTACCCGGCTTCCCGGGGAGGACGCGGGGGCACCGGGCAGCTACTCACCAGGTCAGCATGACTCCGGACAGGAACGTGGAGACGTAGTGGTGAGACACCCACCAGCCTTTAATTCTCAGGGAGAGAGGAGAGAGAAGGAGGGAGGTGCTCAGGCAGGGGGGACACCAGACATCTGCCTCCCAGCCCACGTGGGCAGGGGCTGCCCTGCGGCTCGGAAATAGCCTCTTGGAGTAAGAAATGGACTGAAGCCATGACCTTGCCCTTATGTCTGCCCTACAGAGCCGCACAATCCCACACCTGCAGGTTAGCCCAGAGACCCACGTAGGCTTCCGCAACCCTCCACGCATCCCAAATCTCACCCGCCTTCAACCCCTGACTCCCTGTCCTCTCTGCTCCCGTCCTCCCCAGCACTGAGGTGCTCCAGGCATCTGGCCTTCCCTTGAACTCACCAAGCCTGTTGCCACCTCAGGCCCCATTTGGACTGAACTGTGAATTCCTACGTTGAAGCCTAACACCCCCCAGTACCTTGGAATGTGACTGTATTTGGAGCTAGGGCCATTAGAGGGGCAACGAGGTTAAAGGAGGTCACACAGGTGGGCCCTAATCCAACATGACTGGTGACTCTGTAAGAGGAGAGACACCAGGATGTGCGTGCACAGAGAAGAGCCCTCGTGGGGACATGGGGAGAAGGTGCCAAGGGCAAGCCGCGGAGAGAGGCCTCAGGAGAAACCAACCCTGCCAGCACCTTGATCTTGAACATCCAGCCTCCAGAACTGTGAGAAAATAAATTTCTGCCGTGTAAGATGCCCAGTCTGTGGCGTTTCGTTCTGGCAGCCCCAGCAGAGTAACACAGGGGCCTCTGCACTTGCCGTTCTCCCTGCCTGGCTCCTGGGCCAAATTCAAGTTTCAGAACAACCATCACCTCTTCAGAGGCCTTCCCTGGCTTGAGCGCAGTGGTGCCTGCCTGTAATCCTGACACTCCGGAGGCCGAGGCGAAAGGACTGCTTGAGTTCAGGAGTTCAAGACTAGCCTGAGCAAGAGTGAGACCTTGTCTCTACTAAAAATATAAATATTACCCAGGCATGGTGGTGTACACCTGTAAGCCCAGCTACTAAGGAGGCCGAGGCAGGAGGATCGCTTGAGGCCAGTAGTTTGAGGCTGCAATGAATTATGATTGAGCCACTGCACTCCGGCCTGGGTAAGAGAGTGAGACCCTGTCTCTTAAAAAAAAAAAAAAGTAGCTATTCAAGCAATAGCCTATGTTTGCCTTAGGAGTGACAGCGAGGGACAAAGCTTTATGTAGCTCCATATTCCTAGCACTAACAGCACCAAGTAGACAACAGGCACTCAATAAATGTTGACATGAATAATGTCCAGGAGGTATGGCTGGTGAAAGCAGCAGCTAGTCTGGATGTCACTAGCACAGAGGTGACAGGAGATTGTCACAGGCACCATGTGAGTTCATGGGGACAATGTAAGATGTCTATCTACTTCTTTGTCCCCAGCAAACCCTCAGCCTCATGTAAATATCCATCTCGTCTGTCAGAGTCTACACGGACCTCTGGCTCCAGTTTTCTGACAGCAAAGGCAGTCGGCCAAACCCTCAGACTTTAAGGTTGAAAAGCAACCAAGAGGTCTCTCCGCAACCTCCCCAGACCCCCGCAAAGCCACACACCAGCCCTCAGATCCTGGCGGGCCCCACCCTCCTTTGTCCTCCTCACGAAGCTCCCCTGAGAAACGTCCTCTCCCTGTCTAGGAGCAGCCTGTGCCAGACACAGACTCCAGGCAACAAGCCTGACCGAGCAGCAGCTTTTAATTTCACAGCTCGCCGTGCCCAGAGCCCAGCTCTGACAGATGCCACCAATAAACACAGCTCGGTGACATCGGGTGAGGCTAGAATTTGCTTCTTCCCCGGCCCGGCATTCGTGAGCCCCATCGTCCATCTGCACACCCCAGAGCTCTGCGCTGGTTTTGTGCATGTGTGTTTATATAGCAGTTTTATTGTGATATAATTCAGATACCATACAATTCGCCCATTCCAAGTGTAATTCAGTGGTTTTTAGTATATTCACAGAGTTACAAGACTATCACCATGATCAATTTTAGGACCTTTTTGTCACCCCAAAAAGGAAACTACACACCCATTAGCATTCACTGTCTGGGCCCATTTTGCCACAGAAATAAAGCTTGCAGCGGCTTGTGGGCTTTTTCTAACAGACAGACAAGAGGGTGGTGCATTGACCTGGTATCTGGGGACTGTGCCAGGGAGCATGGCTTCTTTCAGGACTCGTTAGCCATGTTTGTTAGTGTGTGGAAATCATGTGCCCCAGCCACTATTCAAGCCCGGGCCATTTCTGGCTTTGTGCTGCGGGTTACCTAGACAGCTGGAGAATGGCTTCTATACTGAGGGTCCCTCCCCTGCCTGCCACCCTCTACATGTTTGTGCCCAAGGATAGACCCCTATAAAAGCCAGTTAGGCTGGGGCAGTGGCTCATGCCTATAATCCCAGCACTTTGGGAAGCCAGGAGTTCGAAACCAGCCTGGGCAACATTGCAAGACCCCTTCTCTACAAAAAAAAAATCAGCATGTGCCTGTAGTTGTAGCTACTTGAGAGGCTGAGGCAGGAGGCTCGCCTGAGCCCAGGTGTTTGCAGTGAGCTACGAGCAGGTCACTTGCACTGTCTCTTAAAAACAAACAAGCAAGCCAGTTAGAGTCAGGTATCATGGGCAGCACTAGAAAAGCAAACATGACTGCTGATTCATTGACTCATTATTCCTTCTTGGCCCACAACTAAATGCAGTGGATGTTGGCTGTTTTGCCTGCTCTTAGTCACAGCCCACCATAGTTCCGGGGCCTCCACTTTCCTGCAGGGAAACACCTCACCCCACACTCACTCTGTGTAAGGTATGTGTGTATGAGGGGTAGAGCTGAGGCATATAATGGGGCACATGACCCAAAGCCAGCCAATCAGGACTCTGCAGCCCTCCAGCAATAGTGATTGGCTCCAAGGTCAGCATGTGACCCAAGCCTAGCCAATCCAAAGTCTGTCTCAAGATTCCAGCAAGATGGAAAGGCTCTCCCCTGGGGCTGCTGATCCAGGGGGAGGCTGGTGGCCTGGGCTGCAGGGGCCTATTAGCACTGTTCCAGCCCTTTTCACCTCCTTGAACCTCCCAGTTGTATATGCCCATAAGTTCCCCTCAGATTTAGTCCCTCTGGGGTGGGTTTCCATCATTAACAAAATTTGCAAGAGAAGTTGACGCTGACTGAGCTAATGAGCTACATTTCTTGGGAAGCATCAGACACAAACCAAGGGTGGCTCTGTCTCACAATGGAGAGAAGTCCCCACCCCAAGGCCTGCTTCCCTGACCACACCTCCAGTCCCAATTCAGTGCAACCAGGAACAGGACAAAGAGCCTCAGTCAGACCGACTGGGCAGCAAGGCTCCAGGAAGCCCACGTGGTTCAGCCCCACTGTTCCCAGAACCTTTCCTCATTGCAGAACTTGGATTTGGTTCGTTTCAACAAAGACCGTGGGAGTGCTTCCTGGGTCCTGACCCCGAGTTCTTGACCTGGCTCCGAGGTGCTTCAGCAATGAGAAAGGTGGAGTTCATCCCAGTCTACACCCCTCCTACCACCGCCTCACGTGCTCTCTTAGCTATTCCCTGGTCAGGGGCCAGGTGGGAGGGGAAACCTCAAAGGCATCCCCTTGCCCGCCCCCAGGATAAATCAGCTTTGAGATAGAGCTGAGGGAGAGTGGAGGCTGAATGTCCAACAGATGTTGAGGATGAGTCACAAGTTTCAGCCATCCAGATTCAGCCCACCTGCCTTGCCCCTTGCCCACAACAATCATTCTAGAAGATGACACCTGTTTGGGCCACCAGCCCCATTCCAGACTCCCACTCATCCATCCAAGCCCCTGCCTCTGGCCCACAGCGGGAGGCAGGACTGGAAGAATGGTTCCACTACAACTTGAAATTCCTTAAACCATATTTGCCAAGAAGGGGTCTTTGCCATTAAAACAGGAAGAAAAAAAAAAAAAAAAACTCTGAGTGTCCCCAGAAGGCACAGAGTAAGAGTTATCTCGAAGTCCCTCGCTTAGTGTCTGGCACTTAGGAGATGACCATAAATGTGTGATTGAATGGCAGATGGGGTAGGGGGTAGAACAGACCCTCTTCAAGCTCAGAGACAACCATTCCTGCTCTCCCATCAGAGCACAAGCTCCAGGGAACCCAGAAAAGCTCCTGCTGAACTGTTGGCAGGTGAGGCTTGCCCCCTTCAGTGCCCTGCTCTGTTTTCCTGGTGAGCCCCACACCTGCAGGAACCTCAGTCAGTCCTGCTTCCTCCCTCTAGTAACCGCCCATGCACAGCTTGTCATACTAGGAAAAAGAGCTGTCCAGAGTAACTCTTAGTAAATAAAGTAGGATGTCTGCTAAAGGCACGGCATGCCCCTGAGCAGAAGGGTGAGATGCCAAGACCGATCTGGGAAGCCCAAGGGTACAGGAAGAGGATTAGCCACAAGGAAGCCTGGCCGCTTGCCTTGGCTCCATTCCCCACTATGAACTACCCTGGCTACCCTCCAACCACACCCACAAGCAAAATACTATTCACTCGAAAATTAAAGAAAACTATGAATATTATTTACTTGGTAAGTTTTCTACTTCAGTGTTTCCCAAAACATGAGGAGCACACCAAGTTTTAGATGGTACTAGAGTGCAATGCTAGATAACACTGAATCATGTGGTGAGAAGTCCTCTTTTGGTTCTCTTTCCATTCTCCTGATTAAGTCAAGGAGAGAATCTCAGCTGGATGCTAGGACATCTTTAACGCTCTGCAAGACCTGTTCATCTCCCTTTTCCCACACACACGCGGGGAGGTGGCAGGCCTCAGGCTCCGAGGCTTGGGAAGCTAAAACAACTGACTTCAATACAGTGAAAACAAAAGGATATTTTTACAGGACTCTCTTCCTGCAATTGATGCTGGTTTTCCACGTGTAGTGGCAAAATAGTTTCCTTTTAAAATAAATTAACATTGATTTATGTAAAAAAAAAGGAGGATTGATTTAAAATGAGGAAATTGTCATCCAGGTGGTATGTGGCTATGGCAAAAATGATGCACAGTTTGAGAAACACTGATGATTTCTAAATGGCTACGTGCTACAGGCTTTGTTCCTAAGAATCACCAGCCCCCTTGGGAGGCCGGGAGGAGGGGAACGCTTGTCCTTACCTCTTGGCTCTATGTTCAGGGTAAAATCCAGCAGGGTAGGGACCTGCCATAGAGACCACCAGGCGGAAAAAGTGAGAAAGTGGCAAATTATTTGGGTGTGGTTGGCAGATACCCATTGGTCTGAAATGCACAGTGGCTCCTGGATGTTCCTTGCTAGCCCCCAGGAGTGAGGAAGTGGGGAGAGTTGGGAAGCTGTTACTTTTTTTTTTTTTGAGACAGAGTCTACCTTTGTTGCCCAGGCTAGAGTGAGTGCCGTGGCGTCAGCCTAGCTCACAGCAACCTCAGACTCCTGGACTCAAGTGATCCTCCTGCCTCAGCCTCCCGAGTAGCTGGGACTACAGGCATGCGCCACATGCCGGCTAACTTTTTCTATATATATTAATTGGCCAATTAATTCTTTCTATTTATAGTAGAGACGGGTCTCACTCTTGCTCAGGCTGGTTTCGAATCCTGACCTCGAGCAATCTGCCGCCTCAGCTCCCAGAGAGCTAGGATTACAGGCGTGAACCACCGCACCGGCCTTACTTTTTGTTTCTGGAAGGAACCAGAATAAGAATGGCATGCTGAGATTCGAACGGCCACTCCAAAAAGGAATCTGGGCTAGGTGCAGTGGCTCATGCCTGTAGTCCCAGCTACTTGGGAAGCTGAGGTAGGATCCCTTTAGCCCAGGAGTTTGAAACTAATCTGGGCAACAAATTGAAAAAAAAAAAAAAAGGAAAAGGAAAAAGGAATCAGAACTTTGGAAAATGGGTTGTCCAGGTGGCAAGACATGGGTCTTAACTGGGTCCAAGACTCAGCTTAGAGGCAGGCAAGGCAGGAGGGAGACTAGGAGAAAACAGTGGGGCTTCTTGCACTTGAAGCCCTTCAGAGATGGGGGAGCAAGGGAACTCCCCATCTCGCCTAGATTCATTGAATACCACTGTGATACAACCATCCCCCTTCAGGGGACTCTGGAAGAGCCCAGAGAGGGGACACAACATGCCCGGGGTCACAGGTGTGGCTCAGCAACGGCCCTGGGACTAGAACTCAGGAGCCTTCACTCCCAGCCTGGCCTCCATCCTCCTCGGCTTCCTCTCTTTGGCGGGCAGGTTTGGCCAAAGACCCTTATCACCTGCCCACTCTCCTCTCCATCTCCCTATTGTCATCAAAACCCATTCATCCTTCTAGTGACAATATTCCAATTTTCCTCCCAATTCCCCTCCTGACACCCAGCTTCCATGGATAGCTACAGGGGTGGGTGTGAGGCTCAAGCCTGGCCAGTCGCAGCAGTGCATTCTCTGGAGACTGTGACTGGTTCAGGGATAGGTATGTGATCCTGTCAGTGTCTGGCCCCAGCCAATGGGGTCCAGTGAGAATGTGCCCTGTTTACTGAGAATCCTAGAAATAATGACAAGCGCCTGGAGCTGCTGGGTGCCCCTGCATGGAGCCTGGGAATAAAGATAGCACAGTTGACAGAAGAGGTGACAGAGAGAGAGAAACTGGGTCCTGGTGACACTGTCTGAGCACCTGGATCTAGCCTTACCTGAAGGCAGACCAATGGGCTTGTTCTTTTTATGAGAAACTATATTTCCTGCTATGTTAAACCAGTTTGAGTGAGGATTTCTGTTGCTCATAAGCAAGAGACTGACCTTAAACATGATGCTGCTTCAATAGCAGACAGCTTTCCTCCTCCCCCAGAGCCCCCAAGGAGGAAGGGAACACAGGCTGAGGGTGTCGGCCTCGGCCTTGCTCCCCTCCATGACAGGCTTCGCTTTGGCTCCCTCTGTGCCCTCATTAAGCCGGGCCCCCGAGTACCTGGAGCCGTTGCTGATGAGGATGCTCTCGCGAATCGTCAGGGTGCAGTAATACCACACCAGCAGGAAGTTAAAGACCTCGTCCGTCACCCTGGTGAGGAAACAGCGAGGGAGCGGGCGTGAGAACCAGGGACAGGCGTCCCCCCCTCGCCGCGCAGCTGCCTCTGGACACCCCACTGACGCGGACGGCAGGGGAGCTCGGCCTCCTGTGTCGTGTCTCCCCTGGAATCCTGCGGCCCTCCTCACCGCGCTACCTGGACCCTGCCCGGGCTTCCGGCTCCTTCCCTGACCAGCCAGCCCAGGGCAGCCTGTCTCTCTTCCAGATTCTCCCTGTGCCATGTGAGTCCCCGGTGGGACGGTAACACAAGGACTGTAAGAGCAGGAAACTTAGCACCCTGAGTTGTCTGCAGTGTCAGGGTGTAAACTCCTTCCGTCCGCTTAACCCAGCTGGAAACCTTCTTACACACACGAAAAAACCCCCTCGGGCCGCGCAGTCTGGGAGACCGACTCAACTCCGGCGGCTCCGCCATGGCCACCACAGCCGTGCTGGGCCGTGGTCAGTGTGGCGGGGGACAAACACACTGTCACGGGGCTTGGCAGAGACCCACCGGCCTCAGACTTGCCATCTGTAAACGGAAAGGCTGAGCTCCTACGTGAGCGTCCCTGGGTGAAGGGACCCTGGACAGAGCCAGTGACAACAGCCCTCCACGGGCTCCCCCGCCACTGCCAGCATCTCTGACGAGGGGTCCACGAGGACTTTGTCTTTGACCCCGACAGGGACGCTCCGCTGTACCTCCCAGTGTCGTGAGTACAGACTCACTCGGCACGGTGCCGTCTGTCTGCACAAGGAGGAGGGAAACACTTCGCCCTGCCCCGTTTCTCTCCCTGAACTGCGAGATCCTTTTCCCCAGCTAAGAGGGCCTGGGAAAATGGAAGGAGGATGCAATTTTAACAACAGTGAATGACATGCGTAGACGGCTTTTAAGCTGTGTGACCCTGCTGTGTGGTCACAGAGGACAGATGCTCTCAGCTGGCGCCCGGTCGAACCATCGCCCTCAGAGCTGGTCTTGAGAGAGAGTCAGGAACAGACTCTGGAATCCCAGGGCCCGAGTTCAAATCCCGGCTCTGCTGCTTCTCCGCTGCGGGACCGCGGACAAGCTATTATCCTCCCCAGCTGATGCTTCCCGTCTGGAAAGTGGGAGAGGACCGGCGCCTCTGCGAGCATCGGCTGAGCTGGATACACGCAGTGGCGGGGACAGTCCCTGGAGCACGGAGGCTACCGTGCTCCCTGCTGCGGCTTAACAAGCGCCACAGCCGGAGAACGGGGCCCCAGACGGCCAACTCTGCGACAATCAGAGGACAGCACAACTGGAACAGGAGGTGAGGGCAGCGAGGGCGGGGCACACCCCTCCCCAGGGCCGAGGGTCCCTTTAGCCACCAACTGCCTGCCCAGCTCCCCTCCAGGCAGCAGGGAGGCCCAGTGAGTGGCATGTCACGTCGTGGCTGCCAGGATATTTTTCACTGGTTGCTTTACTATATCTTATCCGTGAGAAGAAAAATTAGGTTTTATAGCTCGAGCACTGTTCCGACACCCACGTGTGAGCGTGTGAGTTTTCGTGGCCGCTGTAACAAGTCAGCACGAACGAGTGGTTACAGCGACCCGCGCTCGCCCTCAGAGCTCTGGAGGGCAGACGTCCGACTGGGACCCTCGCGGTGAACACCAGGCCGCCAGCAGGGCTGGGTCCTTCGGGAGGCTCCAGGGGAGAATCCGTCTCCTTGCCTTTTCCAGCCTCCAGAGGACGCCTGCACTCCGAGGCCCTGGACCTCTGCAATCCCGCCTCCGCCATCCTCCGTGACTCTGACCTTCCCGGCTCCCTCCCATCAGCACCCGTGTAATGAGACCGGGTCCACCTGGACGTTTCAGGGTAACCTTCCATCTCCAGAATCTTTTTTTTTTTTTTGAGACAGAGTCTCACTTTATTGCCCAGGCTAGAGTGAGTGCTGTGGCGTCAGCCTAGCTCACAGCAACCTCAAACTCCTGGGCTCAAGCAATCCTCCTGCCTCAGTCTCCCAAGTAGCTGGGACTACAGGCATGTGCCACCATGCCCAGCTAATTTTTTATATATATATATTAGTTGGCCAATTAATTTCTTTCTATTTATAGTAGAGACGGGGTCTCGCTCTTGCTCAGGCTGGTTTCGAACTCCTGACCTCGAGCAATCCGCCCGCCTCGGCCTCCCAGGGAGCTAGGATTACAGGCGTGAGCCACCGCGCCCGGCCCCATCTCCAGATTCTTAACTCAGTCACATCTAAAAAGTCCTTTCTGCCACGTAGGGTAACTTACTCACAGGTTCTAGAGATCAGGGCGTGAGTATCTTTGGGGACCACTATTCAGCCTGTCTCGCTGCAGGCACTGCGGACTCTAGAAAGAGCCTACAGGGCTGGCCCTTGAAGCAGGTGTGCTTACCACGTCCATGTCTGCAGGACTCCCAATTGATAGAACTCGCCCCTCTTGCCATGGCAAGTTCTATCTGGTGGCTTTCTCAGGCCACCAGAGCCCACTCTGGGGAGCCCACCATGTCCATGCTCGGCTAATTTTCTCTATTTTTTTTGTTTTTTTTTTCTACTTTTTTTTTTTTATTTGTTAATTTTCTTTCTTATTTTCTAGATCTTGACTAAGCCTCCATCTATCTATTTTTAGTTGGCCAATGAATTTCTTTCTATTTTTAGTAGAGATGGGGTCTTGCTCTTGCTCAGGCTGGTTTTGAACTCCTGACCTTGAGCCTCAGCCTCCCAGAAGGCTAGGATTAGAGTCTCAGTCTGTTGCCAGGGTTAGAGTGAGTGCTGTGGCGTCAGCCTAGCTCACAGCAACCTCAAACTCCTGGGCTCAAGCGATCCACCTGCCTCAGCCTCCCGAGTAGCTGGGACTATAGGCATGTGCCACCATGCCTGGCTGATTTTTTCTATATATATTAGTTGGCCAAATTAATTTCTTTCTATTTTTAGTAAAGTAAACAGGTCTTCACTACTTGCTTCCAGGCCTGGTTTTGGAACTCCTGACCTGCATCTCCTGCCTCGGCCTCTCCAGAGTGCTAGAGTTACAGGCGTGAGCCACCGCGCCCGGCCGAGCTGGGGTATTTATCCACCAGCTGCTGTTGGTTTGGGGAACCTGGAACTGCCCCCAGAGTGTTAATTCCTTAGCCCTTCTGATCTGCCTCTTGCGTCCCCAGAGTGGGCTCTGGTTGCCTGAGAAAGCCACCAGATAGAACTTGCCATGGCAAGAGGGGCGAGTTCTACTCAATGTGGAGTCCTGCAACATGACGTGGTAAGCACACCCTGCTTCAAGGGCAGCCCTGTAAGGTCTCCTTTCTAGGTCCGCAGTGCCGCAGCTGAGACAGGCTGAATAGTGG